GGCTTTTACTAGTCCTCTTCTAGTCTCCCAAGCTCAATCCTTTCTCCCCTCAATCTCTTGTCTCAAGTTCTATGTAAACTTTACTCAAAACTATACCAAGTAATTCTTACTTGTTGTGAGTCAGCTGTAAATGGTTAGTAGGTATGGAAAAGCAAAATATAATGTAAAGGGTGGCTTAGAAATAAGAAAGAAAATAATAAAAGGTTAATTACATCAAAGTCACTTTACAACCCTTCTATCACCACAATCAATTTTGAATTCTTAGTTGACTTGCTTAGTGATGAACTTGTTGTTAGTGCTTTCAACTTTGCAATTTTCTTTTTTTTTTCTTGGTTGAATGGTGAAGTCCTTTGGTGTTTGGCACGCATAGGAGAGTCACACGAATTGCATACACTTGCTGACCACATGAGGGATCTAGGGATGCTTGTGGTGCAACCTTGTGCTTGGGATGAAGTCTGGTTATGTGCATCTCCTTGGGCCTGTGTGAGTTCTCCCTCAAGCTAGCATAGGCGTGCATGTAGCTAACAAGCAAGTGGGTTGTTATGAGTTGTTGTTCCTTAGAATCTATTGTAGCTACTTTCAGCTGGTCACTTGATCAATTTCATCAACTTAGCTTCAAATAGTCCACCTAGATGAATTTAGCTAGCCTTAAGCTCCTCTAGCTGATTTGAGCTTCCCATTGTGTTCCATGAGCTACCATGAAGCTTGTGAGCTAATTGTGAGTTGCATATGAATTCCAAATACTTCCACAAGTTGCCTCAATGTGTGCATTGCTTCCATGTACCTACATGTGCAAAGAAAACAAAGGAAATTAGTTAGAATGAATCAATTACCTTGCTGTCATGCATGTGTATGATCTTGTTAGCTATGAATGCATGTCATGAGCTAAGAACATGATGATATAACATGGGTAAGCTAATGTATAGAACTTAGGAGCTGAATTGAATACAAATGAACTAAGAAATGAATGACTAAGCATGTTGACATTTCATGAATGAATTGAAACATACTTAAATGAATGCAAAACTAATATATAACATAATAATATGCTTTGAAATAACATTTTGCATCAATTAACATAAATATGGGGATTTGTATTAAATTACTTTACTTATCAAATCACATAACTAACAATCGTAGCATGGTTTGAATTATTAGTTCATATATGATTATAATTATATAAAGAAAATAAAGTATTAAGATGTTTAAGAATACTCCATTTGCATATGGTGAGAACGTGCTTGCAATAGAAGGAAGCTCTACGTGCCCCATGCGCCACCATGTGCGAGTGGGCTTGTTCTTGACAGTTCAAACTATGTACTGATTCAGCTGAACCAACCTTGAATCAGTCTGACTAAATTGAATTAACCCGAATAGAACCATGACCCAAACCAAATAATTAACTGGTGACCATTAACCATTGAATGTTGACTTTGACCATTGACTTTTACAATTGACTTTTTTGTTGGTCAATACCTATATGTTTTTCAACATTCCGAATCCGATTCCATGGTTTGTTTTTCCAAATTATGACTCAAAAGCCCTATTTTGCATCATTTATCGCTTAAAGTCTTAATTATGTTAAGTAAATTATGAGATTTTGGACTCACTTTTGTTGTTATATTCTAAAAGTGAACACGTGTCTCCGTATCACTCACTAATAGATCATGACCACTTTCATTTAGCTTAGTTTGATTTCGCACACTCATCTCAAGATACATGTAAGTGTTGTTAGAGGTCTTAATATTATATTACTATTGAGGTATATGGTTTTTTACTCATAGAGTGGATGTGTTATTCTCAGGTCATCATTCTGCAGGACCTAGTGCTACCGACCGTGGGAAGCGTAAGACGTAACTGGTATTGAGTTGGGCAAGCTTCATGGGTCACCTCCTATTTGTCCCAAATCTCCTTAACATTAGAGCATAAATATACTATAATATAGTCATCCGGGTCAAGAGCACAAAAGAGTATGTTCATGGTTTTGACATTGAGTTTGGCAAGCTTCACATCTTTATTTGTCCATTCCGAATGATTCCTTAGAGGGTGGGAGAACCATCGATGATTGCATCCAAAAACTGAAAGGTCAATGGCTTGAATAAACAATATAATCATATTCTTCCGATAGGAGTAGTTGGCACTAGTGAAGTAGGAAGACTTTGTGATGGAGTGAGAGTCCATGAGGTAGTACAAGTCAAATATTAAAGACATCTTCTCGGTTGTATCAGGAATTGATAGAGCTTCTTCAAAGATTGTCTCATGGTTGTTAAATCTTCTAATGAATGAAACTATGATACTAATTATTAGAAGTTTTTAGGCTCTAAAGATCAACTAAAATAAACAAGAGGGGGTGATTTAGCTTTTAAAAATTTTGGGTTTGGAGAAAAGGAAGATAGATAATTTGCAAAGTGATATAAAGTGGTTCAACTTCCTTAATGAAGTGTACATCCACTAACTTAGCTCCACACGTAAAAAATTCACTAATTTTTTTTTCTAGGCTCAAAAAGTAACATTTTTAATTCCCTAGTTTTCAAGGCTAAACTAGAACCACTCCCCTTTTACAAATATGGATTAAAAATGTAAACAAGAAATACCTTTAAAGGTAGGTGTTTACAAGAAATAATCTCACCAGAAAGAATTACAAAGATTTGCAATGAGCTCAAAACGCTATGTATAAGAGAATATATAAAATAAAGAGTGAGAGTGCTTTTATCTTGATCTAGATTACTTGGATATGTGTTTTAACCAAGTGTCATTCACTTATTTTTATAAGTTAGAATGAGCTTGTGGTCATTTTTAACCACTGAAGATGTTTTAAAGCCGTTGGGGACTAATTTACTACAAAAAATCGATATTGCCTTTTGGAGTATCGGTACTTTATTTTTTTGGTATAACCACCAGTATCTGATCTATTGATCGACTAATCCAAATTGGGTATTGTAGAGGCAAACACGACCCTCCCAACCCAGTTTGCTCTATTCACAATTGCCAAAATTCGAACCCCTGACCTTGCTTGAGGGATATAGTGCCTCATCCCACTAGACCAACTGGTTGTTGGTTCGATACTTCTTTTATATTATTTAAATAAAACTAGTAGTTGGTGATCGTTGGGCTTGACCAATATCGATACTAAGGTTTCATGGTATCGATACTACTACGTAAAGTAGTATCGATACTCTTAGAGTATATGTACTAATTTTGCATTATGAAATTTGAACACTTTGAAAAAATGTAGTATCAATACTACCATGGGAGTATCGATACTTCTCTTAACTTTAGTATCGATACCACAAGAACAATATTAGTACTATTTGCTTAGAAAATTGTTTTGTGTTCAAATTTAAATTTTATCGACTTTGAATTATTATTGAAAATTTTAAAAAAATTCAATCAAATCCAAAAATATTTTATCCTAAAGTATTATATCAAAATGCATGGTCCAACATTATGAATACGGTAAAGTGATTTAGTCGTTTTAAGACTCATTTAAAGCTAGCGATTCTTTGAATTTTTTCAAACTCTAATTGATCATTCGATAATTTTGAAATTTCTCTAAGCCTTAGGAATTATCAATCATATTTGAGATTAAAATATTATCTTCAGATAATCACATCATGATAGTAAATGAAAACGCGTTTGAATTTTTTTAAGGGTAAAGTATAGTAATGGTCACTGAACATTTTTGAAGCTTGCATTTAGGTCTCCCAACTTTTAAAACTTGCAATACAGTCCCCCAACATTTATTCCATTTGCAATATGGTCCCCTAACTTAAACCACCATTAGAAAATTAGGGTAAATTATATAAACGGTCATTGAACTTTTCAGGCACTTGAATTTAGGTCCCCCAACTTTTAAAACATGCAAAACAATCCTTAATTTTACTCTAAACCCCAAATTCCAAAGTAATTCAATTTCATTCTAAACCCTAAATTCTAAATAATTTAATTAAATTTTAAACCCCAAATTCAAAAATACTTTAATTTAAGGTTTAGAATGTAATTGAATTATTTTGGAATTTAGGGTTTAGAATAAAATTAAGGTATTTTGAAATTTTGAGCATGAATTTACGATTTGATAATAATTATTTCAATATAAATTTGAGGTTTGTTTAACTATTTATATCAATTTTGAATAAATATATGCATTGATTAAACATCCCGAATAACAAAATGGAAGCACTCTATTCAGTATTTCAACTTCCCATAAACTCTGCTCATTTCTTCAACTTTTGACTATATGAAATTCGGAACACTCATTTGGAGCATTATGATTTAAGTACCACTATGTTCTTGCATGCTATTTTTTTATCAGATTTGAGTACCTAACCCTTCAGTGCTTTACAGTGTGATCATTTATGATTCACCTGAATTTGCTCATACAGTGATCATTTATGATTTAGTAGAATTAATGGTTTGTTATTTCTTGTATTAGAATCTTAAATCTTGAAAGGATACTTTGAGGAATATATGACAATTCATTATTAGAAAGAGAATGTGGTCAACAAAACTTGATTATGCTCTTGGTGACTTGGTCTGCACACTTTTATAGTGGACATATACTGGAATGAGTGTCTTATTTTGTGTTAATGTCGGGAATGCCTTATTTCATTGATAATAGTAACATTTGTTTTACATATTTATTTGGAATGACACAATATTTCTATTTTTCAAATACCTCTAGATGACTGCACATCGTGCATTCCAGTTCTGCAAGCAGTATAAGCGAACAACGGAGTTCCAAAGGTTATGTGAGATTATGAAGGACTGTACTTTTTCCTGGGATCTTATTTAAGCTCAAGGTAAGCTATTTAACAGACGTGAAATTTCCTTTGTTTGACTGGCCATAACACAACTATTTCTAACTATGTTGTTTACTTCCGGTTATGGGACAGTGAGGATCCTTATATACGTAAAAGTATATTGAGGTCGCTGCTAAAACTGGACAAATAAAGGAGGTTGAGCGCGTAACCAGGGAATCAAACTTTTATGATGCTGAAAAGATGAAGAACTTTCTGATGAAAGCCAAGCTTCCTGATACCAGACCCTTGATTAATGTTTGTGACCGATTTGGGTTTATCCCTGATCTCACTCACTACCTCTACACAAACAATATGCTTCGTTACATTGAAGGTTATGTTCAGAAGGTATGTGATATTCTTCACTAGATATGTTCACTGGCATACTGTGTGAATTTAATCTAAACAAGAGTAATTATGATCTTGTTTGCTTGTTTTGATAGGTAAACCCTGGGAATGCACCTTTGGTGGTGGGACAGTTACTAGACGATGAATGCCCTGAAGATTTTATTAAAGGTCTCATTCTCTCAGTACGTTCTTTGCTAGTAGTCGAGCCCCTTGTGGATGAATGCGAGAAGAGGTGAATTTTTAAGTGGATCTTGTGTCCATGTTTTCATCTCTCCATTATCATGTGATTCTCATTTTTTGGCATTTGGTTTCCAGAAATTGACTCTGTTTACTTACACAGTTCTTGGAGGATCTTGTAAGTGAGGGCAGCCAAGATGTGCGTGTCCACAATGCTCTGGGAAAATAATCATTGAAAGCAATAATAATCCAGAGCACTTCCTCACAACCAACCCTTACTACGATTCCCAGGTCGTTGGTAAGTACTGTGAGAAACGTGATCCCACCTTGGCAGTTGTGGCTTACCGAAGAGGACAATGTGATGACGAACTTATGAATGTCACAAATAAGAACTCGTTGCTCAAATTGCAGGCCAGGTATTCAATCCTTTAGTTATGTACGATAGTATATCAGATCTTTGTTTCTTAGTGACTTAATAGTTCATCCTTTGATTGCAGGTATGTTGTAGAGAGGATGGATGCTGATCTTTGGGACAAGGTTCTAAATCCTGAAAATGAATATAGAAGAAATCTAATTGATCAGGTTATGTCGACTTCTTTGCCAGAAAGCAAAAGTCCAGAACAAGTTTCTGCAGCCGTTAAAGCCTTCATGACTGCTGACTTGCCCCATGAACTGATTGAGCTTGTTGAGAAGATAGTGCTCCAAAACTTTGCATTCAGTGGGAACTTCAAACTTCAAAATATACTTATTTTGACAGCTATCAAGGCATATCCATCTAGAGTTATGGATTATATCAACAGGCTAGATAATTTTGATAGACCTACAGTTGGAGAAGTGACTGTGGAAGCTCAACTATATGAAGATGCTTTTGCAATATTCAAAAAATTCAACTTAAATGTTCAAGCCGTCAACATTTTATTGGATAAGATTAGAAGTATTGATCGAGCTGTGGAATTTTCTTTTCGAGGTGAAGAAGATGTTGTTTGGAGTCAGGTGGCAAAGGCACAACTAAGGGAAAGGCTGGTGAGTGATGCAATCGAGTCATTTATTCGTGCAGATGATGTTACTCACTTCCTTGAGGTTATCAGAGCTTTTGAGGATGCTAATGTCTACCCTGATCTGGTGAGGTATCTTCTGATAGTCAGGGAGAAGGTCAAGGAGCCCAAGGTGGACAGTGAACTCATATATGCATATACAAAGATTGATAGACTGGGTGAAATTGAAGAATTCATTCTCATGCCAAATGTGGCTAATCTTCAAAATGTTGGTGACCGGCTGTTTGATGAAGAGCTCTATAAAGCTGCAAAAATCATATTTGCATTTATATCTAACTGGGCCAAGTTGGATGTTACACTTGTGAGGCTTAAATAATTCCAGGGTGATGTTGATGCAGCACGGAAAGTAAACAGTGCCAAGACATGGAAGGAAGTTTGCTTTACTTGTGTTGACGCAGAAGAATTCTGATTGGCACATATATGTGGTCTTAACGTGATTGTATAGGTGAGTTTACTTTCTGATTGACTTGAAATTTTTAAGAGTAATGAAGTCATTGCACGTTCAATTCCCTTTTCTTCTCATATTTATCTATTGGAGAGTGATTTTCTTTGATGATTTTGACCAATATGTGAGATTATGAAGAATCATTTAGCAAATCCGAATAAATATAAATACCAGAGGGACATACCTGACCTATCTGCACCAAAGAGCTTGTAATTGTATCTTGATATAAGATTTGAGCAGCTAAAAATTGCTACTGAGATTGGACTTTGAGCAGCTAAAAATTTCATAACAAAATGTAATATTGTTTCTATTATCATTTGCATCAATTTACATTCAAATGTTTCCATATATCATGGTATATGGTTTTGGCAACCATACCATATTGCCTAAGTCATTATGCCATATAAAAAAAATGACACTAAAGATGGCACTTTACATTCATCAACACAAAATATGACAGGTAACATCTATCAACACAAAAAATGGCAGTTAACATACATCAACACATATTGAAGCTCTTGTCAACATCCATCAACATTCTTTGGTTTGAAACTAGAAATTGATTCTTGTGAATCCTGCATCATTGCATTTTTCGATGGAGAAGGTGACTGCAACATCCATCTAACATGATATGGAGTTGGTTGTTGTTGAGGTGGTGGGATTTGTCCTCCTGCAGCCCTTTCAATCTTCTTCCTTTGATCAGATGTTGATATAGACTTGGTTGTTGTTGAGGTGGTGGGAAGTGGCACTTGGGTAATTATTGCAGAAGGCCTCCTAAACTGTAAATACCAATATGTGATAGTTGTTAGTTAAAGGAAAAAATAGAGATTGCGGAGACTTAAATACTGACTGGTAATTTTGGTGCTCTGGCAGCAGTGAAAGGTGGAACAGTTGAAGATAATGGAAACTATGGTGGTGGACCAATTAAGGCTGCTGGATGTGTTGTTGCTGAAGGAAGTGGTGTGTTAAGCCTAGAATTACCTCTGACCTGACTTCTACAAATCTTTATGTTGTGGCCTGCTTTACCACATTTCTTGCACTTAATTTCTAGGGTCCTTTGCCCCTACTAGGATCATTTTGTTGTTCATCAGTAGTCTTTTTCCTTTGTTTTTTAGGCCTACCAGGTGGCCTCCTCTGAATTGGAGGAAGTATTGGATCCATTGATGGGACTGGTTCCCACTGATTGACTCCTCGGATAGGGTAGATAAAGTTAGAATACAGCTGGATTTGAGTTGACCTATGGTAGCAATTGTCAACATAGTTCTTTGGTCTCTCTTGAATCAATAACATCACTAAGACAACATGTGCACATGGGATCCCTGTTGAGAAACATAAATATCCAACACCATCAAACATCATGTACACAATATAACCCTAACATAAATATCAAATACCATCAAAACAGCCAATAAAAAGACATAAATTGTAAAAAAAAAAAAAACCAACTAAACAACAACTCAATTCTAGATCCATTCCAGTACATCAAGTAAATTCTAACATAGCAACTAAACATCCAATAAACAAACATAATATCCAATAATATTGAATTCACAACAACTAAATAGTAAATAAATAACAAATAAACAGCAACTAAAATAGCAACTAAACATCCAAAAGACTTCGGCACATTGAATAATCATACAAGGGGAGGTCACTTAGAATCGGTATTAATTGAAACTCTTCATTCCCCATGTGGTAATTTTGGTATCCCTCGTTTCTGTTAGTGTCAATGGCATACCAATGAAATGCTCCATTAAAGTATGTCTCGAAACATGGAGAATACCAGACATGCGCGGGGACCATGACGTCAATTTCTTTCCAAGGACTAGTTGCCAAAGAATATACTTCAACCCTGAATGGTGGCGTAAGTCACTCCCACTCTGCTCCTCCCAGTACGAAACTATCCTAACAACTTTACAGTGATGTGCTTTAGCATCATAACCAAATCCTAAGGCACTAGTTTGTGGGATCAAGTTCGAGATTGACGAAAAACAAGGGAGAGACAATTCCGGGAGTGCCATGGACTCCCTAGTTGCAGGGTTACATAGAACTATATCATCTCTGTAATTTGATAGGAAAATAATGCCATCACAATGACCTAAAAGCTATAAGCACAGCTGCTTCTTATATAATGACAAATCGACATCTAAATTTACGAAAGAGAAACCATTCCTGCAGACCAAGGATAACATGTTTTCTTTCTCTCCTAAGAACGTTAGAAGGCAGTGCTTGAGAAGGACACATACATTGTTGTTGCAGTTGTACTTAATGTGCAACTTGATAAACTTAGGATTGCTAATGAGAGCGTACCAGTATTTACAAACAGACTTATATTGCATCAATGATTCAACAGGCAATCGTAAGAGGATTAAATATTGAATTCATAGCAACTAAATAACAAATAAACAAAAACTAAACATCCAATAAATAGACATAATATCCAATAATATTGAATTCACATCAACTAAATAGCAAATAAATAACAAATAAACATCAACTAAAATAACAACTAAACATCCAATAAATAGACATAATATCCAATAATATTTAATTGAATTCACAACAACTAAATAACAAATAAACAACAACTAAAAGAGCAATTAAACATCCAATAAACAGACATAATATCCAATAATATTGAATTCACAGCAACTAAATAGAAAATAAATAACAAATAAACAGCAACTAAAATATCAAATAAACATAAAGTAATTAAAGTGTAAAAAGCATAAAGTAATACCTGTAAGACCCCATTTCCTACAAGAACAGTCTCTAACTTTTAGATCCACAACATGTTGGTCAGATGGACCAAATGCAACTTCAAATCTTATACCCCCAGAATGTGATGGCCAACACCTAACAGCTTGCCCAATTAATGTGTCCACCTTCTTTTGAATTTTAGGACAAAGTAAACCAGAAGACTTCTGAATATCTTCTCCTTTTTAGAAATTCTATGCATCATCTCCGTACAAATAATCTCCACCATGGTCAAGATGGGCTTATCCCTTGCCTCCAGAATCATCTTGTAATATAAAAGGGTCAAAAGACATTATTAAGATCAAAATAACATTGAATTTACAATAAATAAATTTTGAAATTACATATACCTTATTGAAACATTCTGAAAAGTTGTTTAATAAGAGGTCACATTTTGACCTTGTGGAAAAATGAGATTTAGATCACATGGCAGCTTTTTTTGACTTTAACCAGTTACAAGCATCCTCTGACATTCCTCTTATTTCTAACATGGCTCTATCAAAATCCCTCAATGTAGTTTCCCTTGCAGCTTTCCACAAAGAATCTTTCAATGCTTTTCCTTTATAGCCCTCCACATTCTTAAAATTTGAGTATAAATTCCTAACACAAGTTCTGTGTTCAGCATTAGGATACAATTCTAGAATTGAGTCAACAGGTCCCTGCCACATTTCAAAACCAGTACAACCAATAAATATCAAGAGCCATAAATAACAAATAAATGGCAAATAAACAACAAGTACAATCAATAAATAACAAATAAATGATAAGAGCAACGTAAGGATGATTGGCAACAAGGGGAATTAGGGTTAATCTGATTTCCAGTTTTTTCATCTTATGAAAATGCATACGACACTGCTTGCATTGCAAGGTATGGCATATAAACCTCGTTTTCTTTTAGAAATCAATTTCAGCTAAGACTTGTGCAACATATTTTGTTGGAACAATGATGTTAACCTGTTTTTTATAGTTGGTTTTGAATACTAAAAAATATGGCTTCTTCCTAAAAAAAACAAATAAATGATAAACTTTTACCTTTTGTTTATCAGACATAAATATGACATGTTGAGAGTTGACTATGTCCAAGTCTTCTCCCAATAATTACAGGAGCCATTGCCAACTATCACGATTTTCAGATTCCACAGTTGCCACTGCTATGGGATAAATGCAATCATTTGCATCAATTCCCACAGCAGCCAATATGTAACCCTGGTAATAACCCTTCAGAAAACATCTATCAAGAGAAATGAACGGTCTACAGTGATTCTTAAACTCTAGTTTGCAACCATGCAAACACACATACAACCTAACGGAGAGTCTATTGTCTAACTTGCATATTATGGTTGTACCAGGATTTGAGTGTCTCACTTCTCCTAGGTATTCATATATTTTGCTATATTATTCTATAAAACAACCTAAGACCTTTTCTACAGCCAATTTCCTAACCCTAGAACATTTTGCTAAACACACATAAGTTCCATAAGCTTCTCTAATATCTTGCTGCAGTGAGACAATTGAATACTTGAGGTCAGTCTTAAATTTTGCAAAAAAAGTTTCAGCAATCCACTTGGCAGATATCAACCTTTGATTTCTTATGCCTCTTTGACAATTTTGTTCATCATTAATTGTCTTAATCTACCATGTGTCATCATTAGGATCCTTAGGGTTCAACTTAGATACCCATAATACCCAATAACAACTCCCTTTACTACACACAGCCTGCACTCTTCGGTTATCATTCTTCTTAAATGACATGCTAAACCTTTCAACCCTTCCATACTGCCTAATTGCATCTCTTAAGATTTCTTTAGTAGCAAATATGAGGTTTTTCTTTAAACTAGGGCATGACATATCTTTCTCAGTATTAAACTCAGGAAATTTTTTTTTTACTATGATCAGTGCTATCATAAGAAAAAGCACTATGCAATGACTCTGCATCATTATGACTATCAGAAGAAACACAAACTAGTGCAGATTGATTAGGCATAAATCCTAGGTTTTCTTGTACACTACTAGTCACAAATAGTACGTCATCTTCTTCAACTGTATCATACGCATCATTTTCACTATCCACAAAAGTCAGATTCAGACCTTTCATGCTCAGATGGCCAATAATCAGAACCTTCAGATTCTG